CCATCTTATCATTCATTCCTCCACATACATTCAATGTAGCCAGACGGGCTTCCGCAATCCACTTTTCGCCCCTCCGGGGGACAGAACGTGACGGGTGGCGAACCTCGTCGCCGGTTTTCCTCCCGGAGATTCTTCGCACCCCTGCCCCATTAAAGGGGCGCCGGGAACTCGGGGCCATTTCATTAATTTTATGCCTCATTGTGCGAAAGTAAGTTGTGGTATTTTTTACGCCGCTACCATACTGCGAGGAGCCGAGTCAGTTCTTTCGGCTTTGTCGCTCGTTTAACACCACCCGGGGGACACGTGTAGGGTGGGCCTAGGATTAGGTGGTCGAAGTCTACGGACGCGAGCGACTCATCCCCCAACTGAGACATTTCATTAAAATACTCTGAGATCGTCGGAAGTTGACAATCTCTGTGTAAATTGGAGTATTGCTGTAAACACCGAGCTCCGGTGGCTATGCGAATGAATCTATTTTGTACGACTTGGAGGTCGTACAAGTGTCTATGGGCCAAGTGCGCGCATGCTACGCTTGCGTAAGACATGATTGGTCTTACGCACGCTTTGTATAGATGGTCCTTGTGTCTTAAGGACAATTTGCTCTTGATGTTAACTAGTGGGTGGGGGCTACTAGTGACGAATTTTGTACGATTGCGGACATTGCGAATGTGTTTCGCAAATCTCATGCCTTTTTCGCATGTAACCCCTAGATATTTAGCCGTTGGTTGCCAGGGGATCTGGCGGTCGTACAGGCTAATTGTACCTAACGCGCTCTTGGAGTTTATGTTTTTACGTTTGGAAGGGGAGATCTTTTAAAAGTTTATTGCTACACTTTTCTCTTGATTCACCTCAAATTTCCATAAGCGGAACCAATTGCCTAAGCCTAAGCGGTTGACGGTTAATTGGAGCTTCTTGGAGAGATATCTTTTATTTTAATGGGCGACGAAAAGTGTCATGACATCGGCGAAGAGAGTATTCACTAGAGAGTATTCACTAGTGGGTCCTTCGGTATGTCACTCGTGAAGAGCGTGAAGAGTAGTGGGGAGATGGCGCAGCCTTGTGGGACTCCGGCCTTGAGGAGACGCTTTGTGGAGCGAAAACCTCTATTCGACAGCGGAAGTGGTGATTGACAAGAAAGACTCTGTTGCTGTGGATGAGCCTATCAGGCATGTTGATTTTATACAGCTTCTAAAGCAAGAAGTTGCGCCAGACTTTGTCAAACACCTTTGCAACATCGAAGAAGAGGGCACCGGTATTGGTGGCTCTGTGACCTCTTTGTAGGAGGTTGAAGCCTTTCAGAATATATTCTGTGAGGCGATGTAATTGGTCGGTGCACGATTGTTTGATTTTAAAGCCTAACTGCTCGTCTAGAAAAAGTTTTTTGCTGAAGACGTGTTTACGAAGGAGATTAAATGTAAGTCGCTCGTAAACTTTTCCCAGTCTGCTGAGAAGACTAATTGGTCTATAACTAGAGGCTAAGTTTCGCGGTTTCCCCGGTTTTAGGATTCCTATTGTGGGATAAAGAAAGGACTTACTGTAATCAGGCGTATAGTTAACTGATACCACAATTCACCACCAATATGTCCATAAATGGCAAGCACGTGCCATTAAATACCAGTTTTTATCACTGCGATCACTGCCTCTTTTTGAGTTTAATTATTTTAGCGTTCTAGAACTTCCTAATTATGATGAAATCCTTTTAAGGATTTTTGTGGAACTCATACGCACAGGCTTATTATCGACGCGGTGATTGATCATAGACCGAAGGGGTAGCGGTTAATCGGAATTAGGACGGCGAACAATGTGTGTGTGAATGAGTGATTAGTGAATGTAATAGTTAAACGAGTGTCTGAATAAAATGGCCAATCCATGGCCCACGGCCTTGGAGGAAACTCCAACAGAAACTCTGCTCTAAACTACATCGATTTTTCTGAATCGCTTTTTTTTACTTAAATTAAACGAGAAAATAAAGATAAAGTTATAAAATATATAAGTTAAAGCAAATATAAAAAAAAAATATTGAGTGGGAAGCGTATTTTTGGATGGACATAAGTTCCACCCTTAGTTCTAACTTTTATAACGCGATTGATCCCGTCTTTACCAGGATACACCTCATCTAGCACGGCAAGAGGCCAGCAGAGGTCAGGCAGTTTCTGAATTTCTGTATTTGAGAACAACAAACTGGCCCCGCTGAACGGGATTGCTGGGGGTGTTCCATTTTTCGCGATTTTGTAAGGATGTGAGATATTCAATATGCCATCGTTTCCAAAAGCTTTGAACAAGTTTGTCAACAAACGCGTACCTTTGGCGGAGATTTCAGGAAATATCTGAAACATCTTCGGCCGGTATATATTTAAGCGGTGTTAAATTAAGAAAGTGCGAAGGAGTTAAGGCTAGCGGTTCAGAGGGATCACTACTTAAAACACACAATGGACGTGAATTTAATAAACTTTCAATTTGTATTAAAACAGTATTTATTTCCTCATATGTCAGTATTTGGGAACCGACAACTTTAAACTACAATTTTGAGCGGGTTCACCCCGCTCAAAATTGTATTTAACTCTTTTAAAATGTCGCGGTTGAATTGACTTGAACATACGAATTTATGTAACTCACTAAAATATGTCCTAGCATCTACGAAATTTGTACCTCCATCACAAACTATAAGGGAGACGGGTCCACGGCGCGCTATAAATCTTTTGAAAGCGTGAATAAACATTATGGTAGACAAGTCTGAAACTAATTCTAAATGTAAAGCTTTGGTGGCTAACCATACAAAAATACAAACGTATGTCTTTTGGCTTTTCACTCCACGTTTTTTGGACTACGTTAGAAACAAGGGGCCCATATAATCAACACCAGTTTTTGCAAAACATTTAGATTGAGTAACGCGATAGTGTGGTAGGTTTTCCATCAGTGGCGGGGATAGCTTTGGCTGTATTTTAATACAATGTTTACGTGAATGTACTATTTTTCGAACTATATTGCGGCCTGATAAAACCCAATATTTATGACGTAATAATGCGAGTAAGATACCAGGATCTGTATGACAGTATACTATATGGTAATATCTAATTGTGAATTGTACAATTATATCTTTAGGCGGTAATAAAATGGGATGCTTTTGTTCAAAATTTAAGGTAACAGCGTTTTGTAGACGACCACCTACTCTCAATACATAATTATTGTCTAAGAAAGTAAGTTTTCGAAGTTTGAGGCTAATATTTTTTTTAATTTAATAATGTCGTCGGAAAAATTATTGTTTTGAATACATTTAATTACAATTTTTTTAGCAACATCCAAGTCTGCGACGCAAATAGAACCTGTCGTTTTAAGTTTTTTGATAAAGCGTAAGAAATAAACAATTAATAAATTTAGACCATTTTGTAAAACAGTTTCCTATAGTGTATATGGGGTGCTTTGCATAGTTGGTACTTATTACTAACGCGATTTTCTTAGCTTCTGATATTTCATCCAAATCATTATTAATACAGGAATGCATGATGGGCCGTTAAACCAAACATGGTTATTTATTTATTTATTAGGCGTGACAGAAAGTGAAATGATTTTCCTGTCCCGGTATATGATACTATAAACTAGGCGGTAAAGTATCTTGAATGGCATATGTTTGGTTCGCTACAAACGTTTGCCAGCGGTGAATTGCCACGGGTAGCACTCCCACCGTAATAGATAAAGCAGATCCTGATAGCTTTAACACAAGATATTGTATGCGTTCGGCGTCAGTAAGATGTTTGTTATCGTGAATCATTTCTTTAAAGTTTTGATAAAATAATGTCCATTTCTCGGGTACAAAAGGAAATTAAATCTAAAGTTGGAAGCTTATGTTTTGATGTAGCAAATTGAATACTTGTATCGTTTTTATCGTTAATTAATGAGGATTCAAAAAAATTTTATATGATTACAAAGTTTTTCGAATGCTTCTATAGCCTTGAACGAAGGTAGGAAGTCGGGATCTAATTCTTCGTTTCGATAATTTATATTTTCTACTACCTGCATATAATTGGATCTTTATTTATCAATGTTTATTGCGTTTATTAAAAATGTTTTTATCCTATCGGGAGAAGTAGCGAGCTTAATCGAATCGTAAGCACGTTGAACAATAAAAAGTAAGGATTGGCGTTTATTGTCAATTAGGAGAATCTTAGATAGATAGATAGATAGATAAACCTTTATTGTACGCCAAAAAATAACAAAAATATTAACAGAAAATGAGAAAAAGAAATGTGGTACAATGGGCGGTCTTATCGCTAAGAGCGATCTCTTCCAGACAACCTTTGGATGGACAGCATTGCAAGAAAACAATAAAAACGTGTGTGGTTTGCTGACAAACTAACATTATTTTTATTAACGCCATAAAATAAAAAGTAAATGTTATTGTATTATATTATATTATCGTACCGCTAAGCGACGCTTATGATTTTTAGAGAAAAAATTAGATTCTGACGTAGCTTGACGCGACGGCTATAACGCTACTATACAGTAATAATGATGAAAATATGGATAATGTATGGATAAAGGATTTTTAACTAAAATTAACAACAGCACTTAACTCGTTCTTACTATATTCCTCACTCAGCTGTTTACCGCCCCGAAAAAGTTACTTCTGAAATTAGAATAGTATTAGACGCGAGCTGCAAAACTACATCAGAAAAGAGTTTGAATGATATTTTATATTGCGGACCCAATCTTCAATCGCATATTTTTGATTCACTTATTAATTTTCGACAGTTAGCTTTAGCAATATCCGCAGATGTAGAGAAAAGTATTTTTCATTAAAATTAATTAATGACTATTGTCCCTGTCAAAGAATATTATATCGATTTGATGTTAATATTCCTATTGCAACATATGAGTTTAAAAGATTATTTTTCGGCTTAAAGTGTTCGTCATATTTAGCACTCCGTGTGTTTAAAAAACTCGCTCGTGATGAAGAGAAAAATTATCCTCACGCCGCTTCCGTTGCATCCAAATATTCATATATGGATGATTTCATTTATTCAGTTTCTTCTCCTGAAGAAGCGCACCAACTGTATGGCCAATTAGTAAATATGTATGCGCTCAGATGTTATAAGTTAACAATATGGGTGTCAAATTCTTCCAGCTTTTTAGAAATAATACCAGAAGATTCTTCCTTTAACAAAAAATTAGATTTTAATTCATCAGATTCGGAAACTAAATTAATAGGTATGCGATGGGATCCAACTAATAATAATTTTACTTTTAAATTTGATATGATTTCTAAAGACCCGTTTAACACACGCTCAATTCTTTCTCAAAACGCTTCTTTGTATGACCCTCTTGGGCTACTCTCTCCGCATACCGCTGGCATGAATCTACTTATATAGGAGTGTTGAAAACGCAGCCTGCATTGGGATGATAAAGTTCCCGCTGATATTGCTCGAGCTTGGGGCCAAATAAAAAAGTAACTTAACAATATAACGCAAATAAAAAGTCCTAGGTATTTAGGTATTTGTAAAAATTTATACATAGCGTTATTTTCAGACTCTAGTGAAAAGTGGTATGGTGCTGTAATATTTATACGCATTGGTCCGTTGAGCTTACCCGCTAAAAAAGTATTATTATTCTGTTCTCGCTATCGCATTGCTCCGCTTAAGAAAATAACTCTTGCTCGTTTAGAACTCTGTGACACTCATTTACTCTCGCAGCATGTTCGCTCAGTTAACGCTTACTTTGAATTGAGATGTCATATAAATCACACTTTTGCTTTCACTGACTCAACAATCGCTTTAGCGTAGATTCGCTCGTCTCCGCACTGCTGGTAAACGTATGTAGCCAACCGAACATCCACCATTAAATATACTTTACCGCCTAGTTTATGGTATTATTACCGGGACAGGAAAATCCTAGCGATATCATATCACGTCCTGTCACGCCTAATTAATTAATAAATAACTATGTTTGATTTAATGGACCACCGTGGATGTCACTATCGCTAAATCGATGGCCCATCATGCATTCCTGTATTAATAACGATTTGGATGAAATACCAGAAGCTAAGAAAATCGCGTTAGTAATAAGTATGCAAAGCACCCCATATACACTATAGGAAACTGTTTTTCAAAATGATCTAAATTTATTTACTGTATTATTTATTTCTTACGCTTTATCAAATAACTTGAAAATAAACGACACATTAAATGACATTATTAAGAAAGATCTTACAAAATTAAAAGAAGATTCTCTGCAACTGCAGACAGAGATAAAAAATGCTCGGAAGGAATATACAGAAGTATAAGCATGTGTCGCAGTACTGAGTGCACAACAATCCGAAATGCAAAAAGAAATAATCACACTTCAAATACCAATTCGTAGAACATCGATTGTGAGAAATCTTGGTGTATGCTTCGATAGTAAAATGCTTTGGTCTGACCATGTTGACAAAATAGCGGACAAAGCTTTTAAAAATCTAGGATTTATCATTAGGTCATGCAAACCTTTTAAAAATCTAAGTATCTTGAATACCTTATATAATGCTTATGTCCTTAGTGTCGTTGAATATGCCTCCCCGGTCTGGTCTCCCCAATACGCCATTTACATAAATCGTTTAGAGCGCGTACAGAAAATATTTATTAAGCATCTTAATTATCGCCTACATAAACCAGCCTTATAAACCTATCAAGAGAACTGTGACCGATTTAACTTATTTACCCTTGAAGACAGACGTACAGTATTGGATGTATGTCTACTGTACGACATAGTGCATGGACGTATTAATTGCCCCGAGCTAGTTACGAGCGTAGGGCTTAACGTGCATTTACGGCGTGTCCGCCGCGCCACGCGCCGCTCACCCCCTCTGTTAAGTGTGCCGCGTGCTGGTACTAATTACGCGCGCAATGCACCCCTCTCGCGTCTACCCAGCGTTTACATTGAATTATTTGGAGAAATTGATATCTTTAACTATAGTAAGAACGCTTTTAGGCGCTTAGCTATTGAAAATCCTTAATCCTGAATAAAATAACATAATTTATAGTAAAATAATAATAATATACTGATAATCTAGTGTATAAAAAAGCAACAAAAAGAACAGAGTGTGCTGTTACTGATTTCATTAGTGTGCATGTATGTTCATGAATTTGTGTAACTTTTCGAATGTGCGTATTGCCTGAGGGAACAAGTGCAACAATTTAATGTTATAAGTGTAAAAGCGAGTGTATACCTACTGATACTAATTATTACGACCTTAATATGCTATGAACCTATTATTGGCCTTATTATAAGTAAAAATAATATTTTATAATGTAAACTATTTAGAATGTTGTTGGTTTCGAAATAAAAAAATATATACCTACTAAAAAGTGCCACTATTTTCGATATTTATTAATTGATATAACTTATTTACTTTAGGTCATACTACTTGGCTGACCGAGCTTTGTTTGGTGTTAGAAAATCATTGTCTCAGGGCTGAAATCTCTCTACACAAAGTTTCGTTCTATTCGTTAGAGTCGTTTCTGAAAAACCGATCACATATACAAGAGTTGCTTACTTATAGTATTATAATCATTATGACGTCTTATCAGTCTATCCAGTGAGAAGCCGCCCTCCACTTCGCTTACCTATGTACCATACCTGTTATTCGTAAAAAACCCTTTTTCCCCGTGGGTTATCGGTTCTTCGAGTTATATAGTCAGCTCATTGCCACTTCAGCGTACTATTCCATTGGGCTGTGTTATTCACTCTGGTTATATTGCGAATAACCTCATTACGAAGCCGATTGCGCACAGAAACTCTGAGAATAGTCCTCTCCATAGCTCAAAAAAAGAGCCAACTCTCAAAGCTGAAGACCGAGTGTGGCAGCATCGTTTCCGGGGCACCTGAGATTTCGTCATCGTTGGAGTCACGCGCAATTATCCCTGCCAGCTAAAGAGTTGCTGAATAATATAGACAACAAGTCTTGTAGAATTGAGATTATAAATGATTTTTTCTCAAAAATTGATAAAAATTTGGCAAACAAAATAAGTCAAGATAAAACCGCAACTAACAGAAACTTGTTACTACATAACTGGTAAACAATCAGCGTTTATTTTTATTAAGAATAATAACTTAGCCGTTTTTCTGAAACCATTAACAGAATTTGTATTGATTTCTAATTCTTAGTAAGCATTTCTAAACATAGTTAATTTGTATTTGCTTTTGCATGCACATATTTATCATACTATATTATATTATAATTATTACGAAAGAAATCATGTTATTAAAAAAATATCGAGTACATCGTGGAACAGCACTAACTCTAATTCGGGGAAAACCCGAAGCGCGAGGTGTCATGGGGTACGTGCTGTGTCTGTCGCCACCGCCGCGCGCCTTTTACTGCACCCTTTGTCGTCCTAATTAATTTTGTTCAAATCAATGTTTTCTTATCGAAATATTACATACCTACGAAAATAAATATCATCGTTCTTCTTATTTTGCTTCCGTGAATCGTTTTTGCATTTTGGCACTGCACATTTCACCACGATAACTATAAATTCTATTTAATATGGTCGAGAGAAAAAATTAACGCGCGTGACCTTTCGTGCCTATTAACGTCGTCCTGGCAATTTCGAAATTATTCAAACGCGTATTTACAGTTCTTAACTTGCTTACACACGCTCTATAGCTTGCTTATTAATACTCTAAAAGTAAACCTAGGTAAGTAAAGTCCAACTTAATATCGAGAATGTCACATAGTAGTTAAATTTAACAGCTTAATATGTCGTACGTTTAAGATTAAATTCGAGACAGCAAACATTTGTAAAGTTTCTTGAGATATACCCATATATACAGAATGGGCCATCAAACGTTTGGAATTGGAACTATAGGTTGTTTTGAAGTTGGAAGGCTTGATGTAATTTGCGATGTGACAGAAAGTTAGTTTTATGTTTGACATTTATGAAATGGATCGTTTTTAGCTTGAAAAACGTTGGAAAATATAAAAAAAATATTTCTATAGTGATGACAATGGTGAAATTGAAAGTCTTTTACTCAAACTAAGAAATTTACGAAAATAATTAAAAATTAAAAATTTTGTCCAATCGAGTTCAATATAAATTATTAGATTATTTACTCTCTAGATAGTGTAACGGCGGCTCAAAAGCATCGACAAAAATATCAGTTAGCTAATAGTTAGCCTCTAAAGCGCTTCCCGCTCCTCAGTGTCAATTGTAACGCCAAAAAACAAGCACGCACGGCTCATTTTTTGCAAATGACAAGTTGCGATCAAAATCTGCAGAAATTACAAAGGACCTTTACAAACAACTAACAAAATCTCCTACCAGCGGTAAGTAACTCAAAAGTAATAGTATAATAGTAGTAATATTAAAAGTAATTTACGAAAACAAAACTAATAAACTGATAATTTTTTTTTACAAAATCAACGCGTCGCATTTTGATGTTGCCAGTCTTGTGTGACAGCAAACACCTGGCCGCCGAGGCACGCAAATTGCATTGACCTGCAACGAGAATTTTTTTTTTTGAGAACTTTGACAATCGCATGCGCTCAGCAATTTGGATGGATCCTGGTTCAGCATCTAAAAATGTCTTAAACGAAAACTTACCCCTAGAAAACTTATCACTAGTGTGTCTCTGTATGGTAGTCTAGCGCTGGTGTGGTTCATCACATCTTCTTACTAAACATTACCACAGATGTGTACCGTGAAGAACTGAACACAGTGATGGAGATGCTCGCACGTCTCCAACCAGCTTTGGTCAATCGCTCGTGCTCACTGCTCCTGCACGACAATGCGCGACCTCATACTGCACAACAGACGGTCTACAAGTTACAAGAGCTGGAGTAGGAAGCTCTCCGTCATCCAACGTACTCACCAGACCTTGCATCGACAGACTTCTATTTCGTCCAGAATTTGGATAACTTTTTTGGCGAGAAAAAAATTCAATACCTGAGAGGCTATACAAAATGCCTTTGAAGAATTTGTTGCCTCCCGTCCAGCTGATATCTTCAAGAAAGTCATAAACAAACTGTCACTGAGTTGCCGAAGATGCTTCAATTGCATGGGTGTTTACTTTGATTAATAGAAATAAAAAAAAATGTTAAAGAAATTACGTTAACTTATTTCACAAAAAACGACAATTTCATAGGTAAGAACCTAATATATAGGCCTAACATCTTACCTTAACATCCTTATACCTCCAAATAATGTTCCATAGTGTGATCAATTAAGTGAGGCCAATATCTAGTGATATAAAAAAAAACATATTGACTTATTTCCTGTCAAGTTTTCAAAAGTCAACGTCTTGTTATCGTCAAATTACTTCTGCCATCTCACTCGATGAAATGTCAATACAACTATTACATGTCGTCGAGATTACTGAAGCCCGAATCTCCCAACGGGTTCTTTAACAATGTGTTCGTTCTTAAGTATCAGAAATAATATTTAAAAATATCTGAGGTAAATAAAATAGAAAATATTTTTTACCTACAAATAACGAACGTTGTAGCCACGACAACGATAATATTTCGAAGCGGCTTGCAAATAAACATGTGTAATATTGTCTAATGAAATATTGTTTAAATCGTATTATATAATTAATAACAATAAAAAACTAAAGTTATCACACAGTCCTACTTTTCGCGATATATTTCTAAGAAGGATGTATGTAATTCCTCGCTGAAGAGCAAAATTTAGCTTTCGACGAAAATAGAACCAATCCACTCGTAATCACCGACAATGGTCTTGCAGAGATTCATATTTTCGTTCTATACTCAGATCTGTCCGTCTCTAAAACCGTCCCTAAAAGT